GGGAATGTACCCCAAAGAGACCATAACTGACATCCAAGCTGATATCTGCACACCCATGTTTATTGTGGCTTTGTTCACAATAGCAAAAAGTTAGAAACAACCTGGGTGCCCCTCAACAAATGACTGGATAGAGAAGCTGTGGTATATTCACACAATGGAATACTACGCTGCATTGAAAAACAAGGAACTCATGAAATATTAAAAATTGGTGACCCTGAAGGACATTATGCTGAGTGAAATATCTCAGTCACAGAAGGACAAATACTGCATAGTGCCACTCTTGTAAAAAGGGATTGACATCGGGGTTGATGGGGAGACTTAGAAAGATGGGATAAATAATGTATACTGCATTGAAACAGATGAGAGAAAGAACTGTTTAAAAGGAATCTGATTAGGTATTATTGTCATGACAGGAATCCAGAACGAAGGCTGTATAGTGAAGTGTATAGTGAGGGGAGGGATTGTATAACAATGAAAAAATTTTTCTTTTAAAAGAGAAGAGTGAACGTGGAGGGGAATTTGGGCAGGGAGAAAAGTGCAACAGTGAATGCATGGAAATCCAAAGTCTCTGTAAACTTTCATTAAAATTAAGAAAAAAGAAAAAAAGAGGCATGGGTTTTAAAACAAACACCATTTACTATTATGTTTTACTTACTGGAAAAGTAAAAGGAGTGATGTGTCTTGTCTCCATACCTTTTCAGTCTATGGCATCAGGATTGGAAGAAAACTCATCTGCATTATGCAGATGACACAACTTTACTTGCTGAAACTGAGGAGGGTGTGAAGCATTGGTTGCAGAAGGTCAAAACTGTAGTTTGCAAAGTGGTTTGAAGCTTGACATCAAGAAACAAAGATGCTCACCACTGGGTCTATTGGCAGCAGCATGATAGATGGAGAAGAGATTGAGGTTGTTAACAAGTTCAGCTTGCTCAGTTCCACAATCAGTACTCTTGGTACCAGCAGTCAGGAAATCAAAAGATGAATTGCAATAAGAAAATCTGCTGTCAGGAACCCCTTCAAAGTGCTGAAGAGCAAAGATGTCATTCACATGACTAAGGTGTGCCTGATCTCCAGCCCATGGTCTTCACAATTACTTACTGTTCATCAGAGAGTTGGACAATGACCAAGGATGATAGACGAACTGATGCCTTGGAGTTGTGATACTGAAAAGTAGTACTGAACATACCACAGATAACTAACAAGTTTGTCCTGGAGAGGGTGAAACCAGACTGCTTCTTGGAGGCATGTACTTTCGGCATGTAGCCAGGAGTCTTTGGAGAAGGATACCATGCTTAGAAGGGTTGAGGGACAGTGCAGGAGAGGAAAACCCTGGTTGAAATGGATTGACACTATAACTGGGATAATAAGGATAGGTGTGTCAGAGATCATGAGATTGGCTCAAGGTAGAGCAGGATTCAGAGCTATTATGCATAGGGTCGCTGTGAGTCATAGTTGACTTGACAACACAACAACCCCAATGGGCAATCATGTTTCCTTTACAATTCTCACTCATGTCTGAGGAGCCATCTTCATGACTTTTTTCCCCCTTGTGTACAGTCGCATCCTTATGGCACAGGAGATGGCCTCTTCTTCTTCAGCAGAGCGTCTGGTGGATTCAAACCATGTGCCTTTGGGATTACAGTGCAGCTTCTTGCCACTAGGCTATCAGAGCTCCCTTTTTTTTTTTTTTTTTTTGAGATAAACTATTTTATTCAGAGCTTTTGGGGAAAGAGCCAAAGAGGTGGGGAAGACAAGCTTCAAAGATGGTGATTTGGCCAGGATCAAGTCTATGGGTATTCTTCGGATGGCCAAATTTGTTCAAGAATTCTGATACCAGTTCTAACACAGGGTATTTGAAAAAACTACCCTCAGGTTCCACAGTAGAAGACTCACAAAAACCACTGGAAAGTACACTGGTGATCATGTTTATGGAGGTGAAAACATGCAAACTAATGCCAGAGATGAGGCACACATGGCAGAAATTGATGAGGATCAGATACAAAAGCTTCCACATCCTCAGGACTTCATGGGTGGCATCGATGGGAGACAGTAACTGCTAATTCTTATTGTTCACTTGATCTTCACATCTATAGATTTTTATTTTAATGGGATTTTTAAATTGTAATTTGAGTGAAAGTTTACATATTTTTTTAAAAAATCGCTCATGCCCGCTTTGTTCCATAACATTAAATTCTGATAGGCACAATGTCTGTTCATCCATTCATTCTGTATTACTTTGCTCACCTTTATAAGTGTTTGTTGTTGTTGTATACCAGCGAGTCAGAACTGACCCATAGCCGACCCTCCAGCGGGTTTTCAGAGGCAGTTAATCATATGGGAGGAGATTGCCTATCCTTCTCCTGTGGAGCAGCTGGTGGCCTCAAACTGTGTGACTTTGGGATTGTAGAACAGCTTCTTTCCACTAGACTACCAGTGCTCCCTTGATAAGAATTTATTAACAATTAATTAATTGTCCACTTCTCTCCTTTTCCTTCCTTGATAGCCATATTACAGTGAGTCTCTCTGCAAATCTTTGTTTAGTCTTTAATTATAGTACTTATAGAGTATTTACGTTTTTGTGACTGACTTGTTTCACTCAGTATAATGACTCATCAGCAACCTGAAATATGCAGATGACATAACTGTTCACTGAAACTGAGGAGAACTTGAAGCATTTGCTGCAAAAGGTCAAAGATTGCAGCCTTTAATGTTGAGTTCAGAGCCTTTGTTCATGGGGTCGCTATATGAGTAGTTGTCTACATTATGGTACATAACAACAACAGCAGACTCATTCATGTATAATGTTTCACGAATTCTTCATTGTTATTCAGTGTAGCATAATACACCGTTGTGTGAATGTACAGCATTCTTTTATTGATGGACTCTGGGGTGGTTTTTGTCTTTTTGCTACTGTTGAATAATGCTGCACTAAATGGGTATGCATGTTAGTGTTGTAGCTTTATCTGTCATTAAAGGACAGATACTGTATAAGACTACTACTGGTCTACACACACACACACACACTCTCACACATTCAACAAAAATGGAGATAAGATGCATCCCTGACATCTCTGACATCCCTGACAAATTTCTGATTTTGAGCCATGCACTGTTTCCTTGCTCTGTTCTGACAATTGCTTCATGGTCCTAGTATTACAAGCTTCACATAAGCACAGTTAACAGCTTTGGCTTGCTTAGCTCCACATGATTGTACCACACTCTTGGTACCAACAGTCAGGAAATCAAAAGATGAATTGCACTGGGAAAATCTGCTGTCAGGGTACTGAAGAGCAGCGATGTCAGTCTAGAGTCTAAGTGTGCTGATCCAAGCCATGGTCTTCACAGTTACTTGCTATGGATCAGAGAGCTGCACAGTGAATAAAGATGATAGAAGAAGAATTGATCCCTTTGACTTGTGGTGCTGGAGAAGAGTATTGAACTATGGACTACCAAGAGAACAAACAGGTCTTTCCTGGAGAGGGTGAAATCAGGTTGTTCCTTGGAGGCAAGGATTTTGAAGCTCCATCTCACATACATTGGGCATGTGACCAGAAGGGACCAGACCTTGGAAAAAGACATCATGCTTGGAAATATGGAGGGATAGCCCAGGAGAGGAAGACCCCAGATGAGATGGATTGACATAATAACTGAAGTTAGGTGTGTCACAGACAATGAGATTGGCTCAGGATAGGACAGGGTTCAGCACTGTTGTACATAAGGTAACTGAGTTGCAAGCAACTTGATGGAACATAACAGCAACATAAATGATGACTATACACATGGGTATCATTGGATAGAATACAGTAGAATCAGATGAACTAGATTTGTGGGAAAGAGGTACTGGAAAAACTCAACATCATTAGAACAAGATTGGGACCAACTGGAATAGCCTATAGGTTGTTCATGTCTAAATTCAGATTGAAGCTGAAGAAAATAGCCAAAGTACAACCTTCAAATGCATCCCACCAGAATTTAGAGACCATCTCAGGAAGATTAGAGAAATTGTAGAATGACATCAAGCACACTACATAGGAAATGAACAAATCAGGAAAGAAAACAGTTTACATATCAGGAAAAACTAAAATGGATGTCAGAAGAGATTCTGAAACTTGTACTAGAATATAGGGAATCTAAAGTGAATGCAATAAATTAAGTAAAAGAAAAGAACAGAAGGTTTCAAAGGCTGACTTGAGAAGCAAAGTTTTATAATGAAATATGTAAAAACTTTGAGTTAGAAAACTAAAAGATACATGCTCAGCATTTCTTAAGCCAAAGAACTGCAGAAAAAATTCAAACCTTAAATTGTAATACTGAAGGATTTTATGCATAAAATGCATGAAAAGGAATGGAAGGAATACAGTCTCTGTATCAGAAATAATTGGTAGATGTTCAGCAATTTCATGGTGTAACATGATCAAGAACCAATAGAATTAAAGGAAGAAGTCCAAGCAACGCTGAGGTCATTGGTGTAAAACAATACTCCAAGAATTGATGAAATATACTAATTGAGGTATTTAACCAACAGATACAACCCTGGAGATGCTCCCTAATGTGTGCCAAGAAATTGGCTATGTGGTGGGGAGAGGCTTTTATTTGTGCTTCTCCTTTCAAGAAAAAGAGATGATCCAACAGAAGATGGAATTTATCAAACATTATCATTAATATCATACTAGTAAACTTTTGCGAAGATAATCAAGTTGATTCCAATCCATGCTACTGTGTGTGTCATGGTAGGACAAATCTTAAGTTGTTGGTTTTATATCCCTGTCCACTGCAAATGGATCTAAAAGTCAAGGATAAAGTAAAGATCTAGAAATATTGTGGTGGAAACAAAGTTATTTGGGACAGGTGTTTCCAGAAGGGCAAGAACAAAAGAAGGTCAGTATAGATGCACAAAGGCTGAGCTGCATTTTGACAAGACTCCTGCTAGTGCTTACACAGAAATACTAAATTGGAGATAGATCACAGTGTTTATCTGGAGGTAGACCAAAATCCACATGTCGCACTTCTTTGACCAACAGGAAGTGCTGAGTGACGGAATGAGCTACTCAAGACTTTTCTTTTGTCGAGGTAAAGGGGAAGGAACTCATGGTTGAAGGTCTTCCTGACTTGTACATCCTAATAGGTTTTATTGACAAGTTTTGCATTACATAAGCAATAAAATACATTAACTGATTCCAAAGTTTTTTTGACATCTTTTCTTACTTGCTCAGCCTTCCCTGTTTCCAAAACTACATCTTTGTTAGAAGACAGTGTATCTGCTTTAGAGTCAAGGTCTTTCACATCTTAGGATAGGGAGTTTGTTTTATCTAAATCCTGGCAACTGCTGCCTTGGTTGTTTTAACTCCAAGAACATGTGGGATAAGTCAAAGATCCTTATATTTTAGAATAAGGATGTGAATGAAAAACACCTGAGCACCATGGGACTGTTAACTCACCAAACTCAATGAGTTTGAGATTCTTAGATATAAGATCTGTATTATCATCTTCGTTGTCAGCCGTGATGACATAACTACCTTGCCTTTGATTATGGGAGAGAAGCATCCTCTCCTTGTTCCTTTTAGAACATACTACATCTTTGCCTTTTTTTAATGGAGTTATTGGTGGATGGCCTGGGACTTCATAAAAGGTGAGTCTGGGGATTGTGGACAAGACTGGAGTCTCAAGGCTTCATTCTCCATCCCCAGCTTTGCCTGCTTTAGTCCTTGGACTGTCTGTGAATGAAAACCCAGAGGAGGACAGGTGGTGGTTGAGCTATTGACAATGCAGCCACTGGTGAGTAGGGAATTCCTTTCTACTGAAAATGTACCTCTTTTGCCAGCAGAAGGGCAGATCTCTCCTCTCAGCCTTACTATTCCTCCTAAATTCACTCATGAGCTCTTTAAGGGTCTTAGCTCTGTTCTTTCTCAGCAGCCCCTGGCTTTCGCCAGTGTGCAAATGCATTGTTAGGAGCTGTAGAAACATGTTCTGAAACTTGTGCATTCCTGCAGAATTCTGAGCACGATCTGTCATTTTAATGACTATAGATGTAGGACGCATATACTAGAGAGGAAGCACTTTATGCCCTAGCACCTAGGAACTTTCATTTCATAGATGAAGAAACTGAAGTTCTTTAAAGGAATAAGCTAACCCTGTTGTTGTTGTTGTGTGCTGAGTCAGAATTGACTCATAGTTGGCCTTCCTATGGATTTTCTGAGGCAGTTAATCACATGGGAAGAGATTACCCATTCTTCTCCCCAGAGTAGCTGCCTCTGGATTGCAGCATTGCAGCTTAACACTCTGCCACAAGAGCCACCCTACTGTAACTGTGGACATATAATTAACTCACATAAAAACTTTAGAGACTGTAGTCTGAGTGTCATAATTATTAATTCATTGGGAAATTTCCAATCTGTAGCCCACAACACAACAAATTATTCTTTGTCATGAAGTTTTACAGATCCAGACTCTTTAAGTCCAATAACCTGACCAAAACTTAAACTTTTTTGGGGGGGCATTCTGTACACTTAGGCCTTGCTTCTTCACTTCTGTCTCTTGACCACCTTACCCTGGATATTTGAAAGGATGGCCTTATCTGACCCAGGATACCAATGATTTTCAGGAGTCAATGACCTTTGAAGATGTAGCTGTAGACTTCACTGAGGAAGAATGGGCCCTGCTGGGTACAGCCCAAAGAAAGCTGTTCAAAGATGTGATGATGGAGAATATCGATTCTCTGGTCTTCGTGAGTGAGTTTCTAAAAATTCCCTTCAATGCCTGCCTGTTCTTTCAACAAGTTTCTAGTTTTCCCATATCTTGCTCCAATCTCTGCCCTGATTCTTTGTTAGACTTGAAACTACCTGAAAGGTATTTCTGTCATTCTTTAGGTACACCCAAGCATATACACACACACACACATACAAACATACACTTAACATCTGGTTTGCTATTATATAAAATGTAGTTTTACCACATTTACCTGTGCTTCTTGCTATTCAAATTTCAATACTCATAGAAGTGCTGACAATACAGTAGTTATGCTTTCAATAAATTATCTACCTTCAGAACTACACCCAGGCTGCATATGGCATTAGTAAAATGTATTTTGTTTTGCATGGAATCTAGATTGTTCTGATAGAGTTGATGTTGGATTTGCACTTAAATTTAGAACATAATTTTTCTTTTGTTTTATAAGACTGAGAATTATGATGTCTTTGAACATTAGGATGTGCATCAAAACAAAAAAAGCACCCTCAAACTCATTGCCATTGAGTTGGAACTGACTTATAGTTAATCCACCGTTGGGTTTCTGAGGCTGTAAATTGCATAGTAGGAGATTACCTGCCTTTCTCCCAAGGAGCTGGTGGTGAATTCAAAGCACAGAGGTATGGGACCTTTGGGTTAGCAGCGCAGCACTCCATAAGCTAGGCCACCCAGAGCTCCTTACATACAAATCCAGAAGCCTTTAAAATGTTAGGCACAGAGTTGCCCCCCTTTCTAGTGATAGCTCATCATTGTTCAATTTCTCGGTATTCTCTGAACTGATCCTCAGTGATTACCTTTTTCTTCCTAGGAATACTTCCTGTACATGATGAGCACATACTTTTATCAAAACAGGACTGAAAAAATACTGTGTTTTTCCTCCACATACAGGGAATCATCTTTGCAAATCAGATGTAATTTCCAGGCAAGAGCAAGGGGAGGAACTGTGGAGAGGAGAAGTAGAATTTCAAGGTGAGAATTCGGGTAAGTTCCAGACATCTGAGAAAGCTTGCATTCAGTGAATAAATTTAAAAAATTCCACAACTGTGATGATACCCTTTAAAAAACAAAGAAACAGTACTTATAGTACTTGCCCCACTTGGTTTCCAAGGATATAATCTTGGATATGTCCCATAAGGGGCAAAATATCATATCTTTTTTCCTATGGGTATGAACTTCCAACCTTTTAGCTAGCAGCCAAGCCCTTAGGCACTCCCCTACTTGGTTCCTTTAGTGAGTGAATCCTCAGAAATTCTAATAATGGATTTACTCAAACCTTCAGAATGAAAAAAATCAAAGCTTGTTGCTGCCAGGTTGATTCTGACTCATAGTGATCCTCTGCTAGGTTGCTGAGGCTCCCGATCTTTATGGGAGATCACTGCCCCACTTCTTCCTGTGGAGAGCGTAGTGAGAGTGAACTGGACATATGCTAGCAGCCTCTCATGTTATGCATTGCACCACCAGGGCTTCTTAATAAAGTGTGCGATAGTTTACAAAATGTAGCTCTGTTGTAAAATACTGAATGGTACAAAGAACCTCAGAAGAAAGTTGAAGAAATGCACAGCAAGAGCCAGTGGTACAAAAGGCAGTGCAAGCTGCACTGAAGGCAGTGGTGAAGAGTGAGGCCGTAGGAGTTGGCAAGTTATCAGTGAGATGCTTCAGGTTGGATGTACCTGCTAGTGTATGCTAAGAAATTTGGGAGGTAGTTTCCTGGCCAGCTGAATTGAAGAGATCAGTATTTGTGGCTATTCCAAAAACAAGTGATAAACAGAATTTGGAAATTGTCAAGGTTTGTAATATACAAGTGCAAGCTTGGTAAGAATAATTCAGAATGGTTTCAAAAATATATCAGCTATCCAAAGAGGGGAGGGGAGGGGGAAACTTTGGGTGGAAGGGGAGCGATCAAGGGGTCACAGAGTGTGGTGGGTGGAGAAGGGGGTGGAGTTATTAGGACCCAATGGGGATCTGAAAAGATGAGGTAATAGTGGGCATAGATCAATGGTGATTAATTTTATAAGGCACAGTGTATGGGAACAATCCTTTGAAATACAATGTAAGTGAAAATAGCAAAAGGAAAATGTAATAAACATATCAGAAGAGAAGTACTATAAATTCAAGCCAGATTCAGAAAAAGAAATGAAATGAGGGAGATAGAACATTGCTGAGACTAAGGTGACTGTAATCAGAGAATACCAGAAAGATGTTTATTTCTATAAATCAGGCCCAGGAACTGAAATTAAGCAAAGCTTTTATTGGGGCTCCTGGGTGACATTTGCTGCCCCGGGCCGGAGTCAAGGTGGGGGGCAGGAGGGAGGGAGAGAAGGAGTGAAGGAAGGAGGGAGAGGCAGGATGGGTTAGAGAAGTTTGCATGTGGTATGAAGAGGAACTTTTTTTTTAAAGACTCAGGGAGGAAGGGGTTGTCTCCTGGCAGAGAAAGTAGTCATATCGCTCACTGATTGGCTGCAGCTACCAGGGCTGTTGGTGACATCTGATGATGCTGTTAAGCAGGTAGTCTCTTGGCAGAGGGAGTAGTCATGGAGCCTGCTGATTGTGGTGGTTGATGCTGTTGGATGACAGCTGATGACATTGCTAGGCGGGCAGTCTTTTGGCAGAGGAAGTGGTTGTGTCAGTGAGTCAGTCCTGTAGGCCTGTCACCATCAAGTTGTAACTGACTCATAGCTGATCTTCCAGTGGGTTTTCAGAAGCAGTAAATCCTCACCACAGGCGCAACAAGTCAGCATTAGAATAGATGAGGAAAAGATTGAAGCTGTCAGTGATTTCATCTTGCTTGGATCAACAGTCTTGGTACTAGCAGTTAGGAAATTAAGAGATGTACCTCATTGGGCAAGTCTGCTGCTAGAGACCTCTCCAAAATACCAAAGAGCAATGATGTCAGTTTGAAGACAAAGGTGTGCCTGATTCAGGCCATGAACTTCTCAGTCACCTGTTACAGTCAGAGAGCTGGACATTGAATAAGGATGACAGAAGAAGAATTGATGCTTTTGAGTTGTGCTGGTGAAGAGTACTGAATATACCATGGACAGCCAAAAGAACAAACTGACATGTCCTAGAGAGTGTGTGGCCAGTGTGCTCCTTGGAGGCAAGGGTGATGAAACTTCATCTTTTATACTTTGGACACATAGCTAGGTAAAGCTAGTCCTGGGAAAAGGGTATAATGCTTGGAAAGATGGAGGATCAGCAAAGGAATGGAAGAGCCCCAGTGAGATAGATTGACACTAACTTCAGCAGTGAGTTCTATGTCCTAGAGATGATGAAGATGGCACAGGATTGGGCAGACTTCAGGATGACTGTTTATGGC